AATAAGTATGAACTATGGTTGATTGTTTCATGTTTCACGCACATTTTTAATCTAGCACTAAACAATGGAACTTCTCCTAAAAAGTGAGGGTAGCAAAGGTATCAGTTCTCTACAAAGCCGGAGATAAAAAAATGTAGGAAATTGTAGACCCGTTTCCATTTTGCCAGTATTTCCTAGATGATTAAAAATGGTCATCGCATCAGAGGTTAAATATTTTTTTGTGAAAAATGTTCAATACTTAATTTGTATCAGTCGGTTTTACGAAGGGTCGTTCGACTCAAATTGCATCGATAAATCAAAATCAGTTAATTTTAGATCATATCAAAACGAAGCTGGTAACACTGGGTGTATTCATCCATTTCTGGAAGGCTTTTGACCGCCTAAATCACGAAACGTTCCTCCAAGAGTTACAACTCTATGCTATTAGTATTATTGCAATGAAAGGGTTAAAAACAGTCTTTGAGACCACAAACAATGCATAAAAATTGTTAAGAAACTATCTGACTTTAGGCCACAAAAAGCAGGTGTACCTCAAGGCAGCATACTTGGACCTCTTCTTTTCAATTTAAACGTAAACTACATTCTAAACATTAATCATAATGTACGTTTTAATATCTACACAGACGATACGAGTGTCTTTGTTTCAGGAAATCACACCAGCCAAAATATAAAAGGTGCAAATAAGTTTCTTGTTAAGCTGAATGCTTGGACGAAAGGTCATTCATTGCAAATAAATGAGAGCAAAATGATGGCAGTTTTATTTAGTGCATGTAACACAAATAGCTTTCTTATGGTAAATAATTTTTAATGGAAATAAAACAGATATAACGGATATCGTAGAAGTTTTTTGGCATAATCTTTGACAAGTATATGATGTGGGATAAAACAATGCAGCGTATATGTGAAAAACGATTTTGGGCTGTTGGAATAATTTATAACTATCGTGATACACTCTTCATTTTGATTTTACTGCTCACCTATAATTCTCTTTTTTATTCGCAGTGTAACTTCTGCTTTTTAGTTTGCGGTAACATGACGTACACAAATCTTAGAAAAATAAGAAAATCTGCAAAAGAATGTAATTCGTATTATATACCACGATCCATATGGCAGTTACTCGTAGCCACTCTTTAATAAATTTAATATTGTACATACTTGCTCTTTCCTACGAAAACTCTTTTTAAAACAATAAAAAAAATGTATCCAACAATTACGAGCCTTCAGCGAAGGAAAAAACTTATTGAAACCCGCTACGTAGAAAAATGGATAGTGCCGCACTCCGGAAGAAACTCCGGGATTCAAATCTAAAATATATACTCCCCTATTTTTAAATAGTTTAGACTCACTGAACATAGATATCATTTGTTAATCTATAAAAAATATACGCACGATATTTATTTAGGTATCCGTCAGTGTTTAAATACTCGAATCCAAAGTGAGTCCATGGTTCTATTATTGTATGTTAAATTGATTTTTTTTTTATATTTCACGTCTATAATTACGTGCACGGGATTTATCTGTCATTGTTGAATATACTTGAATGCAAACTGAAGGTATGTTGATTCTTCAACGTTAACTTGTTTTCTTGTATTTTTGTTTGTGATTCTGTAAATCTGTTTCCTAATTTTTCTGATCTGCTGTTGCTGTTGGTGGATGCAAAGGTTTTGTCCAGCAACAACTAGGTTGCTTTTTTCTCTCTGTCCTCTCTTCATTTATGGAGAAAATTGAATAATATAAATTTAAATTTGATATTGAAAAAAAAAGAGAAACTTCTTAAAGAACTTTGGCTATCAGGTCGAACGTTACGTTTGCTTGGTTATGCCTAACATTAGAGAATGCGGCACAGTTGTTTTTGCTGACTCATTTCACGAGCTTTGTATAGACAAAGAAGTTGAATGTTGTGTCATAAGACTTGAAGTTGATTGTAAAATGCGTGTATCTGGTACAACCTCGCCAGAACCTTTGTTCGTTCGCGCCGGTCAAGAAACATCAAGAAGGCATGGTTCGCATTCAACACTTTTTATTTAACATCCTGTTCGTTTCGTAGTTAACCCGCTTGGTATGCACGAACCAAAAAGAAAATCTAAACAATTCAATGAACTAACGAAACCAGGATAATACATTGCGGGACCCAGATATGCAAGCTGAGACTGCAACGTTTCGAAGACGGGCTTCACGATATGGAGGCACAAAAAGCGTGCCAAAGTTCTCAGTGTTACGTATTGTACGCACTAACATTTGTTACGTGCAAGCAAGGCAGAGGGATATCCAGCTCGCCTTTGTTGTAGATTCAATATATTAACTGAGACGCGTGCCGAGGCGAGCTACAACGTCGCTGCCTGGCGTGTCACATCCTAAAGGATAAACTGTCGAGCCAGTCCCACACACATGCTGAATAAGACATTCCCACTGTAAACTAGGACCGAAACTTAAGTACTAAACACATGGCTCCGTCAACACATCAACTCAACACCGAGAAAACCCTCGGAAACTAAACAGAACGAAACCACGAAACTGCCACTAGTCTCGTACACGTTACTTGCCACTAGTACACGTTGCTTGCCACTAGTCTCGTACACGTTACTGAAGAACGTAACTTATCACAATTATTATATTGAAAATGTAACTGATTATAGTAATCAATTACGGCATCACAAAAGTAATTGAAAAGTTACCAGAAAGTAGATTATTACTTTTCAGGTTATTTTTCTTACTTTTTTTTTTACGAAATAATATATGCATACATTTGTTCGAAGTGGTTACATTCGAACAAATGGCTTGGAACTACCAACGCCCTGTGAAGATTTTCCATTTTATAACTCCAAGGAAAGTGCGCATGACCATCTTCGTGGGCATATTGTGAACAAAGTAAGCTATTTCTAATATAATTCGTTACTTACCCCAGTAATAGAGGTAGACGTATAAAAAGAGAGAGAGAAAGAGAATGATTAATAAACAGCTACATGCTGGACTATTGAAAATTCCGATCTATTAACAAAAGAAAATCTTAGGTTAGAGAACTCTCTGTTATTAGTAGGTTCTATACAAGAACGCCCTAAGAACGTACCACCTACTCAGCTATCAAGCTAGTGTGCTGCTTGATAGCTGAGTAGGTGGATGTTGATGTTATGTTTTCGCTACGTTGTTTTGCACTTACCTATTTCACTATAAATCTTTAGTAGCGAGCACTACTTCGTCCTGTCGTATATGTTTGTTCACTTCGTCTTCTTCGTTTGAGCTGTTCTCATCATGCATAAGGTATACCAAACCGCCCAAATCGTTAAAGTACAAGCACGCACTGGTGAATTCTTCCGAGATGGAGTGGACGGGGGGAGAGGGGTCTTTCTTGCGCCTAGATGAGGTCAGTGCAGAACACAGCCGTTTATGTCGTGGCCAAACCGGAGTGTAACAACCCGTACACAGGAAACGAGGCACTCTCGACAGCTCGATTGTCAGAACGTCGCTGGGCGCAATGATAATCTAATCCTTTTGGTACCTTGATATAATGTTTAGTCATTCAAGTGTCAAAAAAGTGTTCAACGTTTGTGGAGCATAGACAAGTGACGCGGGGGCCGATAAGCGATTTTTGTTTACGTAAAAGAACTCAATCATTCTAGCTCTTTAGGAAAAATATATTTGATTACTTGTACTTGATTACAGAAAAATAGTGATTGAATTACAGTGAACGTTACAGCGGAAAAAAAGTAATTGAAGTGTTAAAAAGGTACCAAAGAAATTGTAACGCCCATCCACTTCACATGAAGATGGAGGACCAGCGTAACTCTTATCTTTACGACAAAAGCTACTAGTTTCCTCTTGGCATCGGCCGCCGGATCTTCGTCAGTCATTTTCGTCCGGTGACGACGTTCCCACTCCCGCCTCTGTTGCCGCTGACGCTCTAGCCGGGCACGTTCTTCATCGGTGAGTGGAAGATCAATCGAAGCCGATGGACCCACACCATCGGCCGCACGACGTTGGGCCGTTGCGCGTTCGGCTTCTCGAAGCCTTCGCCCACATTCGCGCCGTTGAGCGTGCCGACGATCCTTGTAGGCGCGCTCTTCGTCTTCAGAGCGAGCAACACGCGGCCTACCCGTGGCGAGTCCAAAAGGCAACCGATAACGTCGCTAGAAAATGGCTACGTCAAGAGGCAAAGGAACACAGCCATGTGTTGGTAGCTATTGTAGATTTTACAGGGACGTTACGGCGAATTGCTACATTGAGAGAATAAAGACATACATACATGAAGGCCATAGGCTCTTTCAATTCACGACGTTGTAAGTTCTAAACCCAATTTTTCGAGACATAACCTCGAGGACAGTTTTGTCCGATTAGATCGGCGCGTTCTGCCCTCAGCTTCGTCACAGCACACTCTTAGCTGAAATACGTCGGTGACCGTAGATGATAAGAAGGGGTCAAGAGTCAAGACCTCACTATCTAATAATGCCAAACAAGGCTGACTCACGCGAGTCGCCCCCCCCCCCTCTCCCCTTTTTATTCATACTTTTCACGACGAATCGGAGCGAGGGAGCGCCGTCTAAACGGGAGTTTTTTCGTTAACATCCATGGAGGCATTGTTTTTTCAAGATCCTAGCACGTAACAGCTTTGCTGTAAAATATAATTGATTACAAGTAATCAGTTACTTGTAACTTGTTACGTACAAGTCTACTCACCACTGAGCTGGCTCGAGTATGCTGTCGATGACGTCACGGCGCTCTTGAGAGATAAGAGGAGGCAGAGATGATCGCCGCATGCCAGGCGGAAATTGCTGCCCGTATTATTCAAGATAAGTGCGGTTTGTACGTGTAGGTGTATGTGCGATAACTGAATTCACGGGACAAAACCGTTAGAAGTCTGCTCCTAACTCAGATTTCTTCAAAGGTTTTTCAGCTGGCCCTTAAGTTAAAACAAAGAATAATTGTTGCTTCATTTTTAACATACCATGCAAAAAAGAAAAAAGAAAAAACACAGAGGAAGGGATAGCAGGATAAGACGGGACTTAATACTTATATATTTTATTAAAAAGCAAACAAACACAAACACGAGCTTAAGGAACAAAGTGAATGTTGAAAATTGTAATCCACGGGTGTCGAACTCCGGTGTTGTGTCGATAAACAGGCTCTTTATCCTACAATTAAAGTAACTGTCATGTCGGGGTAGATGCTGCAATTAGGAGGGCGATATCGACTGGCACGGCAAAGGTTGATATTCCCTTCGATTAGAAACTGCATATGCCTTATATTGGCGAGAAGATACACGCTGATAGTCACTATGGCCATTCTCACTTGGGACGCAAGAAATGTAGTTAGCGTTGCATCGTTTTATTCAACAACGTTACTCATTTTTTACCGCGAACATGATGGCACTATCTTAACGCCGATTATTAAAATCTTTTTATATCGTAATCCTCTTCTTGAGTAGGAGTTATAAAAGTCTGAGCTCTCGTGCAAATATAGCTTGGCAGATAGAAAAACCTGAGAGCAACAATGTCCTCTGTTCTGAGATTTTCTTGTGGATTCCATTTCTTGGTTCCGCTAAATTTCTCTAAAACAGAAATGGCAATCCAGATGCCGCAGCCGCACAGGCACATTCCACCACAAAGATTGAAAACTGCGTCGTAAGTGCCCCAGTTGTCCCGAAAGTATCCTGAAAAGGTAAAGAAAAAAACAAATTTTGTATTTAGTGTATTTTGCACAAAGCCCGCCTGAAATATCCCTTATGTCAAGACTACGTCAACAGTAAGTGCTTTTCGTTTTTTGCCGATTTGCGCCGTTTTTGTTTTGTTTCTTCTACGCATAAATCAAATGGTGGGCATAGTCTCGGTGCGTTTATGAAAAACTTAAACCCCTTAGAAGCCTTGAACTGTTCCAAAAAAATATTTTTTCAGTGCTCGAGCAGGAATTGTACAGCACAAGATGAAGTTCTCACCCCCCCCCCCCTCCCTTCTTTCCCCTCAATACAAAATCTAATAATCCAAGATTTACGGGGTGAAATTTATTTTCAGTTGCGAAACCGAAACAAACTTCTATTTCTAAACGTCAGCTTCAATATAGAAGTTAGTTTTAGTTTCGCTTCTTATCCATAACGTGTGCCACGGCTTGGATATTACGATAAATATATTTTTTGAAAAACAAAAAACACATATTTTACATATTTTCTCTCTCTTACACACGGTAAACAATACTTACACAAGTATTGTTTACCGTCCTTTTAAAGGAGGACACCGCCGCTTCTTAAGTGTTCAACTTGTCTAAAATTCAGCTGACTAAATTGATAATTTCTTTGAAACTGTCATCCATCATATTTTGGGAAAATAAAAGTAGGTCGCTTTGGTACTCACTTTTCGGTTTACCTCGTCGGCATAAATTTTATTAGACAACTTTCTACTCTCTACTGTGGAATCCTTTTGTATTCGCACATGCTACGTGCGGGCAGGCAAACATGCTAATCGGGAAGCGCTAGTATGATTCTTGCTGTCTTAGGTGAAACTTTATTTGCAATGTTCGGTGATTTATGCTACGCAGTTTGCGACAGATTCAATGACGAAACAAACTGCGGTTGTTCCTCACCCTTGCAAGTTGAAGGCCAAGCATACTGAGGTAGCAGTGGACACGAGACGTGAGCATAAAGAAGTATTGTTGATTTTCATCGCGTGTTCTTCAACCTACTTTTTTGACTTCGTCTTTAGACCCTTAGGTGCTATGAATAACTGATTCGCTCGAGAACAGGCTGCACATCAAACCTGCCACCACAGTTGTCTCTTCTAACCACTAGGTGCCGTAGATTTCTCTAGAGTCGCCTATAGTAAGAGACAGAACAAACTTCTGCAAGGTATAACAACCGAACGATTGGACGCGAGTTCTGCGTCAGGGTTCGGCGGGGCACTCCGACGTTCGAGCTCGAGATCGGGTCTAATGATTGCGGCCGCACGCCGTCTGAGCATTTTACAAATTCCCCACAAGCTGGCACTACCTGTCAAACCAAGCTTCATTGCCCAGGAGGTATAGTCGGCGGCAGAATAATAACACCATAGATGCTTCGCGTGGAGCGCGAGCTTTCTGGCCTTGATAAGAACTTCACCACACACGCAGCCAAAATCGCGCCGGAAAGTAAGGAGCGCGTGCCGCAGTCAAAGCATCTACTGAGTTCATAGCCTGCTAATGATGCTACGTCCTACTTAAACTTCTTGCATGTACACATCGCGACACTGTTAGCGCGAACACGGCATCGGCGCCTTTTCGCATTTTATTAGGAAAGGGTATTAGTGGGCACACAATTTTACTCCTTATATTAGAGCCCTAGATGAGCTCTTTCTCTAACAATGATATTTTTGATGACAGCCTTTCGGTTTTAAGAGAAAATCACAGAAAACTGGAGATTGCTTGTTCGCGCTAACAGTGTCACGCTCGGTACTTGCACTGTCCGTCCGAATGATTCAGAAAAAAAGGACGAAATATGGAAATTACGAATGCACGTCTCAAGTGTCATTCGTGTTAGGTTGAAAACTTGCATTGAAATATTCTTAACTTTGAAATTAAGGCTAAGAACAACGTTACTAGAACAACTCAGTTGGGAAACTGCCATAGAGCCTGCTACGGAAAAGTGGCTCCGATCCGTACTCGACAACCGAACTAAAGGCGACCGTAACACTGCCATTTCTGCTGCAGCGGCCACTCCGGGAACTGCACGGCTGCACGTATTGGTTTAGGTCGAGTCGCGCAAAAGCTGGTGGCGAAATCTCTCAGTGCCATTTCGCAGTAGCTATATGAACCAACTTTTATGTTTTAACTCGTCGCTAAAGGGTGTCGCTGTTAACGTATCCAGTTTGGTCTCGGTTCCCGCTCGCGTACACCGAGACCAAACTGGAACTGGACACTTGAGTGATGCGGAGCGCATCTTTGCGCCCGCGGTCCTGCTCCCCGGTGGTCGGGGCGCGAAGCCACTCCCTTGCCTCCTTTGTAGAATGGAGGGAAGTAGGGCTCACGTGTGTTGCGCGTCTCAGGCAATGGGGAGCAAGACCGCGGGCGCTGGGATGTGCTCCGATGAGAAACTGAAATCTAGAAACGCGTCCAAATAGAGCGTTTTTACAAAACGCCGTAACATGCTGCCCCGGCGTTATAGCCTTCCGAAAATAGTTGATTTAGTGGTTTTCAATGATGCTCTACAAGTTTCTAATTGAGACCATATGTCCATTTTCAGTAATTAAAAAAGTTAATTAACGAATTTAAATTAATTAACCGACTTATCGCAAAATTAGCCACCCACAGAATGTCCGCCTGGCCGTATAACCCACCTGCATAAATAGCATTAGTGTAGCTTTCACTGTTTTTTTTAAACAAAGGTGTAAGAATAATAAAAAAAAAACATATATATGGATATATATATATATTCCACTGGCCTACTTAAGCGTAGAATGCTTCTACGCGTATCGGCACTATAAAGCCTCAGCAATGGCTGTTTGCGTTTGTGGGACCCAGGTTAAACTACAATGTTTACACTTTTACGGTAGAAACTTACAATGCAAACAATACGACGTCTTCAGGTTAATTTACTTTTCATTTATTTTTTCTTCTCGCTTTACGGCTGCCGTTGGTTTCTACAGCAATTACAATTTCAACGGCATTGGTGTTTCACAGTGTTGTTTTAGCGTTGTTTTCTCGTTTTTAGCCTAGAATCACGTTTCTTAGCAGTGTAGTTCATTTCATTTTTACTTCAAGACTCTCCAACCCCTCCCGGCAAGTGGAACCGCACTCTTAGTATTGAGGCGAAAAAGTATTTACGGCCTAAATTAACAAATATACAGGGCCATGGCTCATCCGTATCGCAACTGCAACAATGATTTTCTTAAACTCTCTGTCACTTACATTCTTTTTTACCTATGCCAACTTAGGATAGTGCGAGCGCACCTGTTTGTCCACTGCTAGAAACCGCGTTTACTAAATAGCCTGCTGCGTGCCGTACCTACCGCCATAACGTCACGTTTGCTTCGAAGGAAAAAAACGGGAAAGCCCTAGGGGAACCGCTTACGAGTAAAGATTCCGTTTAGATATCAAACTAATTATGTCTTGCTTTAGTACATTAAGTAACATCCCAGGAAACAAGGTACCATTTTGGAATCAGGGGTAGAAGTGAAACGACGCCTTTAATTAATGTAGTTCAGAAATTAGCAGAGCACCACTCTAAAGGTACATTTCTAAAGAGACGGTACTAATATACCGGATTTTAATTTCTGTCTGCCTTTGTATTATATTCAAGTTTTTCAATAGCGTATACTCCGTCGCGTATTATGTATGTGGTGTCCTCTGGGTATGACAAATATCCTTGTCAAAATTCCATGAGACTAAAGATGATATAACAACCAATTACGAAAAATAATGAGCGCATTTCCAGAATGGTTCTTATATTCAGATGCTTACTGTCCGTTTACCGTTCTTTCTAGCTCGGTAAAAATATGTTTTTGTTTCTTCTAGCTTTTGACAATATATTTTTACGTGCTCATACGGTTTCATGAAACAAAGAAGCTGTAAAGAACTTTCGTGCTTTCTACTGAAGTTTTCATTCAAGCATGTCTTTAAACTGTGCTTTCCTTTTACAGAGGGGCCTTTAACATATAGGTTTCGCAAAGCAGTACCAAACTCAGCACGATCAAAGTCTATTGCGCAGAGAAGGATATATGAGGCGTTTTCCATAATCTATCTACCAGCGTATAGATAAACATAACAAACCTGCTTAAACAAGTCTCGGCATGTTGTGGCGTGACTGCACAACATGGCATTCATGCACCATTGCGGCTCTGTGGGTGTCAACCGCTCCAAGACACAGGATATCGCGAGATTCCTCGCGCGGATAAAAAACAATAGATTCTAGATTTGGAGAAAAGATTTGTAAAACAATTTCTCGCAAAAAAAAAAATATTTATAAGCTCACGCGTTCAGTTTATAAGATGCCTGCCACATCATCTTCAAGGTTAAATTTTGGTACCGACACTTGAAGTGGGCTAGATAACTCATTAAATATTACCGACACATTAAACGGACTGCGGAAAAAACTTCCAGAAAATTGTGTATAGAAGACAAGCAGTTCATTTTGTCAGTCAAAATAATTAAGGTTTCCCGAGTAGCTGAAAAAAGGGAAATCTCGTCAGCTCGGCTTGGAAAATCATTAATGCGAAATGGGGCATATGAATGGTTAGCACAAAATGGCTTCCAATAATACTGAAACCACACCAGAAGGGCTCAAAGCTCCCGTTCTGTCGAATAACTTGGAGGTGCGCAGTGAAAACCCAACGATTGTTTTTTTTCATATGGTTGTGACTGGAGATGAGATTTGGGTTGATCAAAGTGATCTAAATTCCAAAATGAACTTGATGCCGTGGAAGCTGAAGTCAATCCTTTCCACAAATGTACAAGACAGACAAAATCTGCAGGCAAAGTTATGGGCACTGTTTTTTTTTTCGATGTGGAATGACCTTTACTTCTGGTGTTTATATCATGCAAGACAACCATAGCCAGAGAGAATTAGTTAAACACACTGATTGCTTTTCGGGAGTCAATCAAGAAGAAATGAGGAAAACTTGCAGCACCCCTGCTCTTTCTTCAGGACAACAAGCAGGTTTACATGGCACGTCAATCACGGTCTTCCATTCA